CCCGACCCGACGGACGGACGGTAACGGTACGTACCTACCTAACGTAAACGTAAGTTAGTTTCGTTTCGTCTTCTTCTTCTCGTCGTTACGTAGAGAGAGAGAGAGAGAGAGAGAGAGAGAGAGGGTCCCTCCAGATCTGTTATAATTTCCTCTCCTTAACTGAATAACAACGCCCCGAATTCAGATAATTTAGGGTTTAGTGCCATTGCTATTCTGCTTTTTGCGGTTTTATGAAAGGGCTTAGGAGGAAGAGGAGGAGGAGGAGAGATCTGTGACCATATTATTGAGAGAGAGCCATGTTCACTCCTCAGCAGCAACAACCGACGAGGAAGGCTGGGGGTATATGGCCTTTCTCTCCCAACAGTAATAAAGGGGGCCCTGTAACAAGGCTTGCTTCTCCTGACCCACCCAACATAACGGGGATTCTTCTTCATGGTGGCGATAAAGGAAGGGCAAAAGGAAAGGGGGTCTCTTCTTCATTTCCATTGCAAGAGGAGGAGCAGGCAACACCTCCTCCTCCACCTCGTGCTTCTCTTTTGAGTGATGAGAATGGTCGTCCCAGGCCCTACTCTTCGTCCGCTTCTGAAGTCTGGAGGCATTTCAGGGAAGCTGGGAGCCTGGACCTAGACTCTCTTCAAAAGAAGGAAAAGGATGCTTTACTCTCTCACCTTGCCAAGCTCGAGGACGAGGTTTCTTTTTCTTTTCCCTTCTCTTTCTTTTCTTCTTTGAATAGAACCCCATTTTATCGTGTTCTCACAAATGCCTTCAGAGATTTAATGTAGGATTTAGTGTTTATTTGTTTATCAACATGCTTAGGTTTCTATGGAGATTTTATGGATAGGGCTTAGGTTTGCATTGTTCTCTTTTCACAATGGGGCGCCTTATTCTGTGTGCTCAGGGCCAAAACACACGACACATACAAATCTTTTTGTGAGAAGCAATCACCATTCCACTTCCCTCAACAAGCAGTTTGTAAGAACTAATCAACCCAAAGAAGTAGATGAAAGGATTCTGGTAGACTCATCCTTTTTATGCCCCAACTTACTATAAATAGAAAGTCTCTCCGATACACTACACAAGCGTTGAGCTCCTCTAACCCCCATCGAAATCACCTACCAAATCTTGATTAGTATGGACATTAATGATTATGTAATGACACCTAAATTCTTTGCATCCGTTGGTATTTTTCAAGTAGTCTGTCCCGTCCACAACTGACCCATTATCTGGCCCCACCACATATTCCTGTTGATTCCTTACTCTTCTGCAACTTCACCTTTGGCATTAGTCAACTTAAGACCGCTTTGAGATGAGCCCCTACTTGTTCCATGGAGATGTCATTGTATTGAAAATACGGATTGTACTGTGTGAACCTTTGATTCGTTGTCAACAATCAAACAGTCCTACAAGTTTGGAACTAGGTTGAGTAGGAAAAGGGGGTTAAAGGTTGCCTTTGCCTCAATTTCTCAAGTCAGCCCAAAAAAAATGGAGTTGTAACCTACTAGGAAACTTTAATTCCATTGAGGAGTCACTCTTTACCCAGATTGACAATCTAGACCTCCTAGAAGAATCTGAGGAGCTTTCTCGGACGACTCATCAGGACGTAGGACATGAAGTCTAGATACTTTACTGTCCTTCAAAGCATGAAACCTTATGGTACTAACCGTCCAGGATAAAATCGCTGAAGTGGAGATAGGAATAGTTCCTTCTTCCAGAAAATTGCAAACAGCTGACGTTGATCCAACTCCATCACCCACATCAAGATGGGCAACTGCACATTTGAAGGACCCCTCACATTTCTAGTACCATTGTCTCATTTTCCCACAACCTCTTCATAACAATCTCCACTCTCGCCGACTTATCCTTCCTCACTGTCCCAACTGAACATGCTCGCATGCTTGAAAGACAATTCTCTTAGGAGGAGATTGTACAGGTTATCTCCAACATGGGCTAGGACAAAGTTTCTTTTATATAGAAAACACACACATATTTACAGGATGAGCGTAGCTGAGATGAGGATGTTGAGATGGATGAGTGGCAAGATAAGAAAGGATAGAATTTAGAATGAATACATGAGGGAACCTAGGTGTGGCTTCAATAGGCGATAAGGTGAGTGAACGTAGATTTAGGTGGGTTATCCATGTGCAGCGTAGTCCTAATACTCCACCAGTTAGGAGGTACGATTTGGTTCAAGTGGAGGGCTCTAAAAGAGCAAGGGGAAAGCCCAAAAGGATGAAAGAAGTAGTGAGTAGGATATGGCGACTTTTGATCTTACTGAGGGTATTGCCCATTAATAGAGAATAATGGAGGAAAATGATTCATGTAGCCCACCCTAAATAATTGGGACAAGGCTTGGATGATGATGATGATGACACAAATATTATCTTATGTATGTTGAAAATTAGATTACAGTTTTCGTATACCAAGGGCCATGACACTGCTACTCTACGGTCGTGGGTGGCGACGCCTAGCATTGTCAGGACCCTATCTCTCCGCTAACTTGTGCCTTCCCTTCATTCTCTCCTCTTCTCACTTGATTGAGGTTTGACCTAGCCTAGCACCGCCATATCTGCCTCGGTTTTTGAGTAGTCTTGCTACCGTACTGGTCCTGAGTACCATGCCCGTCTTGCTACCACTCCGAGTCGGTCACTGTCCGGCTATCGTTGAAAATGTAACTTTATTTGTGTCTTTATGATGTTCTATGTCGTAACTAAATCGATCCCAAATCTCATTCCTAGTTAAAAAAATAGGCTCCATGTTCCAGTGCTAGTAGAAAAGCAAGTTGTGTAAGAATCCCTAATTTTGTTTTAAAATGTTTTACGTACTTGATGTCTACTTTGTACGTGTTTTTCTGTGCATATGGAAGTAAGTATATTTAATGAGAGAATAAAATAACTTTTTTTGTTGACATTTAAAGTATGCAGTAGCTTCAGTGGAACAATGTGCTTTAAAGTCTAAACATTACAATAATTCACTCATGGAATGAGATTCTATAAAGGTGGAAGCGAGTTTCCATGTTGATCAAATTGTGGTTTCTTGTCTTTATGAATCACAATATTTGATTTTGTTAATTGAATCGAGATTCAATAAATGTGGAATTGAGATTTCTAACTACACTAAAGCGAGTTCCATGAAGATCCCTTTAAGGAATCACCGAACCGGGATTATGAGGCGGCATCGCCACCTGGGGTGAGAGATTCCAATAGCTATTCTATGACCATGTGGACTGGTCCTTGTTGGATGAAGTCGTCTTGTTGGATGAAGTTGTAGGGAAGCTGGGGTTTTGCGCCAAATGGAGGTTATGGATAAAGAGTGGCATCTCTTCGACCTTTTTTTGAGTTCTTATAAATGGCATTCCCAACCCTCCATAGGACTTTGCCAAGGTGATCTTCTTTCACCCTTCCTCTTTGATATTGTGGTTGCGGTTTTTGGCATATCCATCACCCAAAGAGCCTTCTCACTAGCTGTCCATCCTCAACAGATGGCCTCGAAAATCTTCAATCTACAATACATAGATGACACCCAAGTCTTTGTGATGCAACCAATATAGAGGCTGATCACTTGTGGTTATACCTTGGGTGCTTCGGAGTATTCACTAGAATGAAGGTTAAGATATAGATGTCCAAAATCCATCACCCGAAGAGCCTTCTCACTAGCTATCCATCCTCAAGAGTAGCCTCGAAATCTTCAATCTACAATACATGGATGACACCCAGGTCTTTTGTGACGCAACCAATATAGAGGTTGATCACTTGTGGTTATTCCTTAGGTGTTTCAGAGTATTCATCAGAATGAAGGTTAAGATGTAGATTTCCAAAATCCCACTTGATGGGTATTGTTGTCATCCGATAATCCTTGGAAGGAATTGTTGCATCTTGGATGCGGAACCAAGAAGCTCCCATAGAAATACATAGCTGCCCGACTCCTTTGCCTTGGTAAACCCTAGAATTCTATTTGGAACCCTATATTAGGAATTTTTTAAGACGACTTGCTACTTGGACATTTCTTTAGGTGGTTGAATTACTCTCATGAAGGCCACCTTAGCAAACATCCTTTTTTTCTTTATCTTTGCAAATGCTAGCAAGCATCTTCACTAATTTGGATCTCTTGATGAAACAATTCCTATGGTCTATTTCAAGTACCACTAAGAAAATACACTTAATAGCTTGTGAAAAAGGTTTGTGCCTTTGATAGCTTGTGAAAAAGGTTTGTGCCTTTGATAGCTTGTGAAAAAGGTTTGTGCCTTTAATAGCTTGTGAAAAAGGTTTGTGCCTTTAATAGCTTGTGAAAAAGGTTTGTGCCTTTGATAGTGGGATAGTTACAAAGTGGTGGAGACTAGCAACTCAAACAGGCCATCTTTGGCACAATGTTATATTCAACATATATGGCTCTAAGATCCCTGGTTGGCATTGGGAAGGAATTCATTGCTCCAGTGCCTTCCAAGCTTGGAAGAGCGTCCTTAGAAGTCACACCAATTCTAACAGAGTCATTTTCAAAATTAACAAGACTACCGAATTGTGCTTTTGCTAAGATACTTGGTTAGGTGGCGAACCCCTTTGGGAGCGATGGCCTAGCCTTTTTAATATCACTGCATACATCGATGCTTTAGTCGCTCATGTCCTTCAGAACACCAGCAATAGACCCCTTTGGAACCCCATATTAGAAAATTGTTCAATGACGAAGAAACCCCTGACCGTCTTGACCTCTTACATAGCCTTTGGACCTTCTTCCTTGGAATTGGACAAGGCAAAGTCATTTGGGACCCTAGTCACTTAGGCATCTTCTCTTTGTCATCTTTTTGCAGTCCCAAACAAATGCGCAAGATGCAAGAAGGCTGAGGAAAACCATGCTACCTCTTCATCCATTGCACTGTCTCTACATTGTTATGGGCACATTTCGTTCATACCTTCAATGGTGTTGGGGCACATCCAATTCAACTTACCAACTATTATGGGCCTATTTGTCCATGGTCTACTTTGTCATTGGCCTTTTTTTGTGGCGGGCCTCAGTCTTGGCAACCATTTGGCAATTTGGTGAGAGATGTAGGAGAATATTCGAAGGGAAGGAAAGAACCAGTCTACATAAGGCACCACCATTTTTTGGGCAAAAACTTACTAAGGACTTACCTCTATGCGAGAAGATTTTGAATCCAATTGGGTGGATATCGTCATGTGCAAACTAAACAAAGTCCCAAGTTCCAGTCTTTGGAGACCCCTTGAGCCCAACTCCATCAAACTTGAGACTTAGTGGTTTCGATGATGTCTTGAGAAACTACCAAGGCAATACCATCCACTCCTTCTCAGGGTCCATAGGCTTTGCAAACTCAATGATGGTGGGCCTCGAAAGCCTTAAAGGATACTAATAATCCTAGAGGGATTACCTGATCGTGGAAGGAGACGTTAAGAAGGCGAATTCTTGGGCGTCTTGATCTACACCTCACGGTGGAGACTTTTGTCCATTTTTTATCACGCCACCTTTGCAAGACTATCCAAGTCTCCTTCAAACACACGAAGTGAAGCCAACAAAGTGGCTGCTTCACTTGGAAGAGTTGGTGCAGCTAGGGGGACCTCAGGTGACGATCCAACAACTTGAAGACAAACTTGTCACCGACCTTTTTTGTTCTCACATACTACTAGCTGTTTCTGCTCATCCCCCCATTAAAGTCCCCTCTGTTTTTTGGATTTCGTGGGAT